TGAAAATGTTAATGATGATGAAAGTATTTTGTTTTTGGGGATTTTCTTTCTTTTTGGGTCACCCTGCCTCGGTGGGAGACGGCCGACCTGTTGAAAAAAAAAAAAATATGCTTCAATGTAAACACTTGATCTACACATCCCCTACCCACTCTAAAACCTCCTTGCTCATCCGCAATTCTACATTCTGTCTTAATGTCTAATTCTTTCAATAACAACCCTACTGTACACTTTTCCTTCTATACTCGGTAAACTTATTCCTCTATAATTTTTACAATCTCTTTTGTCCCCCTTCCTTTTATATAAAGGGACTATACATGCTCTCTGCCAATCCCTAGGTACCTTCCCCTCTCATACATTTATTAAACAAAAATACCAACCACTCCAACACTATATCCCTCCCTGCTTTTAACATTTGTCATGATCTCATCAGTTCCAGCTGCTTTACCCCCTTTCATTCTACGTAATGCCTCACGCACCTCCCCCACACTCACATCCTGCTCTTCTTCACTCCTAAAATATGGTATACGTCCCTGGCCAGTGCATGAAATTACTGCCTCCCTTTCTTCGTCGACATTTAAAAGTTCCTCAAGATATTTTCGCCATCTACCCAGTAACTCCATCTCCCCATCTACTAACTCTCCTACTCTGTTTTTAATTGACAAATCCATTCGTTCCTTAGGCTTTCTTAACTTGTTTAACTCGCTCCAAAAATTTTTCTTATTTTCATTAAAATTTGTTATGAATAATAATTTATTTTAATGGATACACTTGTATTGAGCTTGTATATCTATATGGTGTTGCACCATCTGGGTTGGTGATGCTGTAGTCAAGTTAAGACTGCATAATTGATGGCTGCTTCAACTTAGCTTATTTACAACAGAGTTAGTGTTTGAATTTTATATTTTCTGTTGTTTTATGTCTTATGTCACTGAAATTGTATCTTTTTCCTATAATTTAATTAGATACCTCACAGCCAGCAAAAATAAGCTTGTAGAGCTGCCAGCTACACTCAGCAATTTAAGACTTGAGTCCATGGATGTGTTTGGTAACCCCTTCTCAAGTCCCCTTGGCATAGTGAGAAACAATATTAAAGGAGTCCCAAGTTTGAAAGAAATTGCATCGACACAGTGTGTTCAAAGAGGGTAATTGTTTTAATAAATTTCATTAATCTTAGGTTTTGTGTATTGAAATAGTATGATGTTTTTAACAGAGTACAGTTTATGTAATAAGCGATTACAGTAGTTATATGAATAAGTTATATTCTGTATATCTCTGTTACTCTACTTTCTATAGGTGTAATCTTCATGTTTCCTAGCTTTTAAGATCCACTGATTAATGCTCATCCTATTCTTGTACATTCTAAACATATATGTAATAAGTCAAATTGGACAAGTTTGTTCAGTTTACTTAAGTGGTTCATCATTATTCATTATATGCACTTTGAACTCTTAAGACAGATCCTACAGTATTTTTGAAACTGGCACTTGTCCCCACAAAACACTTCCACTGCAGATGATCGTTGATCATTCACCTAGTAACATCGGCAATAGACCACTTATAGCCCTTCATGTATTCAGTATTCTAAACAAAACAATATATTTGTATCTATTTTTTTTTAACTCAGTGGCTGTCTCCTGCCAAGGCGTGATGACATCAAGAAGAAAACATTCACAATCATTCATTTATACAGTTAAAAAATATATGTAGGTTTAACAATTATTCATTTATGCAGATGGGATTAAACAAACATATATATTTTTAACCGTTTTTTTTTTTTTCTTTTTTTTTTAAGGAAAAAAAAAAACAGTTAAAAATATATATGTTTGTTTAATCCCATCTGTCATGACTTTTTTTTTTTCAGATTATGTCCCACTGCTGCAGACATCCCAGCAACTTTAGTAGAATATCTTCAAGCTTGGCTGAAATGTCTCTGTGGGAAAATATGCTACGAATCTCACATTTTAGCCTGCATAACTCTTAACCTTCAGCTGGTAGCCTCAGGACTTGTCTTAGGCAATGTATTCCAAACAACTGCTCCAGCTCTTGCAACACTTTGTTCTCAGAAATGCTTTGACAAATTTTCTAAAACCTGATAGCCATATTGATTTGTGTCTAATAAAGTATTGTTAGGTTTCATTGTGAGAATTTTAACTTAATTATGCTTTGTAATATAAAATTTCAGAATGTATTAAAAGTCAAATTCTTCCTATTATTGATTTGTGTTCGAAATTCTAAAAAATTATCTATAAAATATCTGTTTTAATTGTATTTTTTTTTCCACAAAACCATACCTCCTTACATTTTGTGAGATGGCACATTGATTCTGCTAATATGCTATATTCATATATTTCCACATTTTTTTTTCTTAATTTTTTTTAGGACATTCATGGACTGATTCACAGTTTATTACACTATTTCATATTTCTTATTTTCTGAGCAAATTGTGCATCCTGCTCCCAAGTTTTTCCCCTGTATTAAGGATTTTTTATTATTTTTTAATAAACTTGTCCTCAGCTAGGACATACTAAATGGATAATTTTATAAATCATCTTTGAACAAACCAACTGTATCTTACCAAGGCAGGGTGGCCCAGAAAGAAAAACAGAAGTTTCTTTTCATAACCTTAGTAATGTATACAGGAGAAGGGGTTACTAGCCCTTTGCTCCTGGCATTTTATTTGCCTCTTATAACACACATGGCTTACAGAGGAAGAATTCTGTTCCACTTCCAGATGGAGAATTTTATAAATCTACTTTTAGCAAACCAGCCATATCCCACCGAGGCAGGGTGGCCCAAAAGGAAAAACAAAAGTTTCTCCTTTCAAATTTAGTAATATATACAGAAGGGGTTACCTAGCCCCTTGAACCTGGCATTTTAGTCGCCTCTCATGGCACGCATGGCTTACAGAGAAAGAATTCTGTTCCCTTCCCCGTGGAGATAAGAGGAAATAAATAAGAACAAGAACTAGTAAGTAAAAAAAACCCAGAGGGGTGTGTGTATATATATATATTATATATATATATATGCTTGTATATGCATGTGTAGTGTGACCTAAGTAGAAGTAGCAAGACATACCTGAAATCTTGCATGTTTATGAGACAGAAAAAAGACACCAGCAATCCTACCATCATGTAAAACAATTACAGGCTTTCATTTTACACTCACTTGGCAGGATGGTAGTATCTCCCTGGGCATTTGCTGTCTACAACCTACTACCTAGGAATTTCATAATTTTTTTTTTTCTCAAGTCGGCCGTCTCCCACCAAGGCAGGGTGACCCAAAAAGAAAGAAAATCCCCAAAAAGAAAATACTTTCAGCATCACTCAACACTTTCACCTCACTCACACACAATCACTGTTTTTGCAGAGGTGCCCAGAATACAATAGTTTAGAAGTATATCTTCTTTCTTTCTTTCAACACATCGGCCGTATCCCACCAAGGCAGGGTGGCCCAAAAGGAAAAACAAAAGTTTCTCCTTTCACATTTAGTAATATATACAGGAGAAGGGGTTACTAGCCCCTTGCTCCTGGCATTTTAGTCGCCTCTTACAACACGCATAGCTTACGGAGGAAGAATTCTGTTCCACTTCCCCATGGAGATAAGAGGAAATAAACAAGAACAAGAGCTAGTAAGAAAATAGAAGAAAACCCAGAGGGGTGTGTATACATATGCTTGTACATGTATGTGTAGTGTGACCTAAGTGTAAGCAGAAGTAGCAAGACGTACCTGAAATCTTGCATGTTCATGAGACAGAAAAAAGGACACCAGCAATCCTACCATCATGTAAAACAATTACAGTTTAGAAGTATATATGTATAAAAATACACACTATATCCCTCTAAACTGCCAATATCCCAAACCCCTCCTTTTAGAGTGCAGGCATTGTACTTCCCATTTCCAGGACTCAAGTCTGGTTATATAAAATAACAGGTTTCCCTGAATCCCTTCACTAAATATTACCCTGCTCACACTCCAACAGATCGTCAGGTCCCAAATACCATTCGTTTCCATTCACTCCTATCAAACACGCTCATGCATGCCTGCTCAAAGTCCAAGTCCCTCACCCACAAAACCTCCCTTACCCCTTCCTTCCAACCTTTTCGAGGATGACCCCTACCCCGCCTTCTTTCCCCTACAGATTTAAATGCTCTCCATGTCATTCTACTTTGATCCATTCTCTCTAAATGACCAAACCACCTCAACAACCCCTCTTCAGCCCTCTGACTAATACTTTTATTAACTCCACACCTTCTCCTAATTTCCACACTCCGAATTTTCTGCATAATATTTACACCACACATTGCCCTTAGACAGGACATCTCCACTGCCTCCAACCGCCTCCTCGCTGCTGCACTCACAACCCAAGCTTCACACTCATATAAGAGTGTTGGTATTACTATACTTTCATACATTCCCTTCATTGTCTCCATAGATAATATTTTTTGTCTCCACATATACCTCAACGCACCACTCACCTTTTTTCCCTTGTCAATTCTATGATTAACCTCGTCCTTCATAAATCCATCTGCCGACACATCAACTCCCAAGTATCTGAAAACATTCACTTCTTCCATACTCCTCCTCCCCAATTTGATATCCAATTTTTCTTTATCTAAATCATTTGATACCCTCATCACCTTACTCTTGTCTATGTTCACTTTCAACTTCCTACCTTTACACACACTCCCAAACTCATCCACTAACCTTTGCAGTTTTTCTTTAGAATCTCCCATAAGCACAGTATCATCAGCAAAAAGCAACTGTGTCAATTCCCATTTTGTATTTGATTCCCTATAAATTAATCCCACCCCTCTCCTGAACACCCTAACATTTACTTCTTTTACAACCCCACTATAAATATATTAAACAATCATGGTGACATTACACATCCCTGTCTAAGACCTACTTTTACTGGGAAGTAGTCTCCCTCTCTTCTACACACCCTAACCTGAGCCTCACTATCCTCATAAAAACTCTTTACCGCATTTAATAACTTACCACCTATTCCATATACAGTGGACCCCCGGTTAACGATATTTTTTCACTCCAGAAGTATGTTCAGGTGCCAGTACTGACCGAATTTGTTCCCATAAGAAATATTGTGAAGTAGATTAGTCCATTTCAGACCCCCAAACATACACGTACAAACGCACTTACATAAATACACTTACATAATTGGTCACATTCGGAGGTAATCGTTATGCGGGGGTCCACTGTACTTGCAACATCTGCCACATTGCTCCCCTATCCACTCTATCATATGCCTTTTCTAAATCCATAAATGCAATAAAAACTTCCCTACCTTTATCTAAATACTGTTCACATATATGCTTCAATGTAAACACTTGATCTACAAATCCCCTACCCACTCTGAAACCTCCTTGCTCATCCGCAATCCTACATTCTGTCTTACCTCTAATTCTTTCAATTATAACACTACCGTACACTTTTCCTGGTAAACTCAGTAAACTTTTTTTTTTTTTTTTTTTTTTTTTTTTTTTCAACAAGTCGGCCGTCTCCCACCGAGGCAGGGTGACCCAAAAAAGAAAGAAAATCCCCAAAAAGAAAATACTTTCATCATCATTCAACACTTTCACCACACTCGCACATTATCACTGTTTTTGCAGAGGTGCTCAGAATACAACAGTCTAGAAGCATACACATATAAAGATACACAACATATCCCTCCAAACTGCCAATATCCCAAACCCCTCCTTTAAAGTGCGGGCATTGTACTTCCATTTCCAGGACTCAAGTCCGACTATATGAAAATAACCGGTTTCCCTGAATCCCTTCACTAAATATTCCCCTGCTCACACTCCAACAGATCGTCAGGTCCCAAGTACCATTCGTCTCCATTCACTCCTATCTAACACGCTCATGCCACGCTTGCTGGAAGTCCAAGCCCCTTACCCACAAAACCTCCTTTACCCCCTCTCTCCAACCCTTTCGAGGACGACCCCTACCCCCCCCTTCCTTCCCCTATAGATTTATATGCTTTCCATGTCATTCTACTTTGATCCATTCTCTCTAAATGACCAAACCACCTCAACAAACCCTCTTCTGCCCTCTGACTAATACTTTTATTAACTCCACACCTTCTCCTAATTTCCACACTCCGAATTTTCTGCATAAATTTACACCACACATTGCCCTTAAACAGGACATCTCCACTGCCTCCAACCGTCTCCTCGCTGCTGCATTTACCACCCAAGCTTCACACCCATATAAGAGTGTTGGTACTACTATACTTTCATACATTCCCTTCTTTTCCTCCATAGATAACGTTTTTTGACTCCACATATACCTCAACGCACCACTCACCTTTTTTCCCTCATCAATTCTATGATTAACCTCATCCTTCATAAATCCATCCGCCGACACGTCAACTCCCAAGTATCTGAAAACATTCACTTCTTCCATACTCCTCCTCCCCAATTTGATATCCAATTTTTCTTTATCTAAATCATTTGACACCCTCATCACCTTACTCTTTTCTATGTTCACTTTCAACTTTCTACCTTTACACACATTCCAAAACTCACCCACTAACCTTGCAATTTTTCTTTAGAATCTCCCATAAGCACAGTATCATCAGCAAAAAGTAACTGTGTCAATTCCCATTTTGAATTTGATTCCCCATAATTTAATCCCACCCCTCTCCCAAACACCCTAGCATTACTTCCTTAACAACCCCATCTATAAATATATTAAACAACCATGGTGACATTACACATCCCTGTCTAAGACCTACTTTTACCGGGAAATAGTCTCCCTCTCTTCTACACACCCTAACCTGAGCCTCACTATCTTCATAAAAACTCTTTACAGCATTTAATAACTTACCACCTATTCCATATACTTGCAACATCTGCCACATTGCTCCTCTATCCACTCTATATATGCCTTTTCTAAATCCATAAATGCAATAAAAACTTCCCTACCTTTATCTAAATACTGTTCACATATATGCTTCAATGTAAACACTTGATCTACACATCCCCTACCCACTCTGAAACCTCCTTGCTCATCCGCAATCCTACATTCTGTCTTACCTCTAATTCTTTCAATTATAACCCTACCGTACACTTTTCCTGGTATACTCAGTAAGCTTATTCCTCTATAATTTTTACAGTCTCTTTTGTCCCCTTTCCCTTTATATAAAGGGACTATACATGCTCTCCGCCAATCCCCAGGTACCTTCCCCTCTTTCATACATTTATTGAACAAAAGTACCAACCACCAACACTATATCCCCCCCTG